TCATCAATATCGTTTTGTTTGTCCACAGGAGGCAGCTGAAAAGGTTTGATTTGACATTAATTTTAAATCCTAAACAACGAAAATTTTGTTTCCTTCAGATAATTGTCGCTTTGGGACTCCAAGCAAATGATGCCAACGCTAAGGAAGAGAAATTTTCCAAACCATATCTCTTTCAAGCCCAACTACCGATGGAGTTTTATTTCTTTAAAATCACCACACCCAAACGTTATTTAGCCAATCATTTGGATAATGAATATGGATTTCCGTTGATAACCTATTCGAATGGCGATTTTAGTCGTGTTCGTCTCAACGAACATGGCATGGTCGAGGAAATTGTCATTGTTACGAAAAAGGTAAGGAATTTTGGAGAAATTGCAGATTAGATGTACTTTTGAGCGATAACATTCAATTGCAATTCGTGATCCATCGATAAGTTTAGGAATTCGTGGTATGTAGCTGAGCATAGAACTACTTTTCGGTATTTTAAGTTAATTTACGATGTAAAAAGTCATACAGATTACATAAAGTCTAGTTCCGGCTCCTCGGTTTCCGAAATCAAAGAGGTTGCAACCAGAATTGGCTGCATCCATAGAGAAGTTCGAGACAGGACATTTGAACATGTGTAAATTCTCGGGTGGTCTTAATACACATGTCGGACATGAGTTAGATATCGTACACAATAGGAATATAAGCGTTCGCACCGTCCTGACATTAGCTGCTTTAAAACTACACGTGTTTGCCTTGGCTCTTCTTTTCATCTGCTATTATGGATATATGGTGGTTCCCGAATACCATATAGATCTGTTGTTTTAGGTTTTCACATGTGTACCTTTAAATATCTTTCTACCCAGAAAAAACCAGTAAGGAAAGTAGTAAAGTCGGACTGGGCCGACTATGTGATACCCTTCCACACTTTGGGTATATTCAGCATATGTATCCTAAAGTCGAAATTATATATGGAAGCTATGCTATATCTAAACCGATTTCAAGGAAACTTATCAGAAATTAATTTATATTAACTTCAGTACGTTGTGTCAATCCGATTAGCTATGGATCATTTACTTAAAATCGGACGGAAATATATATAGAGGTGTAAGTAAATCTGAACCGATTTTCACGAAACTTTGCACACATCATTCTAGACTGAATTCAGTACGCTATCCCAAAATCGAAAAATATATGGGGACTTTGGTGAACTATTTACATATAATCGGACGAAACTATATATGGGAGCTATATCTAAATCTGAACCGATTTGCACGAAACTTTGCACACATTATTCTAGACTTATTGAAGTACGCTATGCCAAAATTCGTGCACATCGAAAGATTTGCAGGGACTTTGGTGCACCATTTACCAAAAATCGGGCGAAACTATATATGGGAGCTATATCTTAATCTGTACCGATTTCCAGGAAACTTAACACACATCATTACAGGCCTAATTCATTACGCTGTGCCAAATTTCGTGCAAATCGAATGATATATAGGGACTTTGGTGCACCATTTACCTTAAATCGGACGAAAATATATATGGGAGCTATATCTAAATCTGAACCGATTTTTTCGTCCTTGGGCCAAATAAGCGACCTATGCCAAATTTCATCCAAATCGGATCATAAATTCGACCTGTACTTTGTTCACGAAAATACATGGACGGACAGATGGACGGGCGGACAGACGGACATGCGTAAATCGACTCAGAAAGTGATTCTATGCATATTCTCAAAATGAGCCATGTGCCTATCTCGTTGCCTGTTACAAACATATGCACAAAGACATAATACCCTGTACCACAGTGTGGTGAAGGGTATAAAAAGGGGACTACCCCAAAAAGGGGGCGAATATTAATAATTTTTGGTGGGGAGATTTGTTACCATATACAACTACAAAATACCGAATTGCAACGCATTCGGTAGAAAAACGCGCTCAAGAACCCCAAAATATCGAAAATTGGGGATACCCTTATATGGGGGCTATTCGAAAAAATGGACCTATATTCATAATTTTTTGTGGAGAGATTTGGAGAAACCTATTAATAACTCAAAATACTAAATTACAGCCAATTCGGTGGAAAAACCCGCTCAAGAACAGCAAAATACCGAAAATTGGGGGGTACCGTTATATAACAGCTATGCCTAAACGTTTACCAATATATCCCATCTACGAACTTGACCTGCCTGCAGACAAAAGACAAACCTCCAAACAAAATTTCAGCACCCTATATCAATTCCTTCAGAATATAGCGTGATTACAACATAAGGACGGACTAGATCGTCTTAGAATTTTACCCTGATCAAGAATATATATACTTTATAGGTGTTGGGGTCAATTGCCAACTCTCTCAGGGATGGTCTCCAAGGGGGTTCCTCGACCAACCCGGTTACCTGCAATTATTCTGCCTTTGTCTCCTCGGGTTCTGCAACTGCTTTTTTGGCGCTTTCTTTTTACCCCTGGGGTATTATTTTGTATTTTATTAAAACCAATATTCACTTTGTAATTAATCAAGGTTTTTTATTTCAATTATTATTTAGATCAATTTTATTCTTTTTTTGCAAACTATTTTATTGCTTAACTAATGCGAACTTCATCTGTTGAATGTTTTAGCAAGAAGAAGAATATCAGTGACAAGTACGAAAAAGGAAAACGAAAACAAAAACAAAACAACTTCATTGCTGGCCCTTCGTACTTGTCGCCGTTGTGAGAGGAGATGATTATTGCCGTGGTGAATATCACAAATTCAGTGCTGCCATTGCAGCGTTTTCTTCACACGCATAAACAATAGGGTCGGGCATGAATATTTCAATGAGTTACAAACGGAATGACAAAATTAATATACTTGGCACCAAGTGATTATCATCTTTTTCTTGCATTGCAAAATTTCTTTAATGATAAAAAATTGGTATCTAGGGAGGATTGTGAAAATCGACTACTAGAGTTGTTTTTGCAAATAGAGAGCAGGACTTCTGTGAGGGAGACATTATGAAGTTATCTTTAAAATGGCAATACATCATACAACAAAACGGTTCATATTTGGGCCAAATCGGACATTCCGAAGCATGTTAAACCAGTGAGCGGAGCAGTATGATACCCTACACAACTACCACGAAAATCTAATTTTCTATGGTTCGATATTCTGAGATTGGGCAATATTTAGCGATATTTGTACCCCCTTGACCGACTAGACGTCCACAAATATTACTAATATTCAGTACAGCTCTTCTAATTACTTGTCCAGATCCCCTTCACCGTGGGTTGTGTTGTGATGTCCGGCTTTCAATTGTGGCCTATAAATCGACTCATAAAAAAAACACAAAAAATTAAGTTTTCGGATCACTTCATCCAAATATTATTATCTGATCATCAGCGAAAATTATAGGCGTTGTCCATGACCATACCTGGATCCTCAATGAAAATTTCAAAGCTACCCGCGATATATTTCCGCCCTCTAGTGTGGTAATGCGTTACTAAATAATATATGAATACGTAAGGACCTGTAAATATTTAAGTGTAACTCCCACATCCGAGTACCCACGACAATGCAATTGGTATCAATGTAAAGGTAAACCACTCCTCTTGGATATACTATCAACTTCTCGGGTCTATGTCCTTCAGAAGAAAATATATACGCCATAGACTTCAAAAGTTGTAATTTTCCACACAAAAGTCTGGGTTCATCTGACCCGCTAAATATTGACCGATCTTTATCAAATCAGGCATGCTTATTCTTAGGCCCGATCCCCTTCTCCATGTAAAATTTCACGATGTTCGGACCATAACTGCGGCCTCTGGAGCGACCAGAAAAACCGACAAAAATAAAGTTTTTGGTCCATTTCATCCCCTAAATATTAACCGATCTTTTCCAAAAACAATAGGGGTCTTCATTAGCAAGAACCCATCCTACATGCAAAATTTCGTGAAGATTGGCTCATAACTGTGGCCTGTATCGTGTTTATAAATTATAATGGACGGACGGACACACATGTCTAGATCGACTAAGCTAGTGGAGATATGATCGGTATACTTAAAGGTGGGTCTAGGATCAATATTTCGCGGCGTTACAAACTCTTGAGGCTGCACAAAGCTATAATACCCTAACAACATAGTTATGTAGGGTATAAAAATTGGTATCTAGGGAGGATTGTGAAACTCGATTACTAGAGTTTTTTTGCAAATAGAGATCAGGACTTCTGTGAGGGAGACATTATGAAGTTACCTTTAAAATGGCAATAAATCATACAACAAAACGGTTCATATTTGGCCCAAATCGGTCATTCCGAAGCATGTTAAATAATGTCCTGTAGTTCATATAAAAATACTAGTAAAATTATTTGGACCCTGACTTTTAGTATTTGATACAAAAGTCAGGATATTTAAGATACACAATCCATACTTTCCCTTTCCAGAACAAGGACTACGATTTCTTAAAATTCTTTTGTGGACGACACGAATTACTCCTCAATAATTTACGCTCACGTTGGTATTTGAAAGACATTGAAAGTTTTCTGGATTTCTTTCAAGAACCCTGGGTGGAATTGATTATGAATGATCACTTCGAAGAATTGCAAATGATAAATAAACTATTGATATCACCCACTGCTGAGCAGGTTATGAAAATGGTAAGTGAAACCTAACAAAATAAAGACTTAAACATGTTAATTTGTATTCCTTCCCCTCACAGCAGAACACCGATCGTACGACGCGCCACAAAATTATGCGCAGCATTTGTCAAGATTTGGGTATAACAAATCAATTGGAATGTGCTGCTTTGGAATTTCTAAGAAAATATCGTTGTGAGTTCTCCACAGACATAGCCTTACCTGAAGATTTTCCCAAGCCACCAACCAAAAGAATGGCGGATTTTTGAAAAACACTTATATTTTAATATCTTTTATTATGATGTTTTTTTTATAATTTTTAAATGCAGTTTTTTATAAAAAAAATGTTTCGTAATGTAATCAAATCTCTTTCCCTTTTTTTCTTTTGAAACTCTCTCATCGCTTAGGCACCTAACGAACACTGCGTCACAAATTGTTTGGCCAGTGAACATTCGGCACTCTCTGCCCAACGATTAGCTGGACAATTTTTAAAGTATTCCATATACGTGCAACCCAACAGCATTCCAGCAAATGGACTGCAACCCCTTTGCAGAATACTACGACCCATTGGCAGTTGTTTAAATGCCTGCAATTTTCTCTCCGTATTGGGTTGACATTTGCGGAACGCTTCCAACATTACATTAGCATATTCGGAATCATTTGAGAATTTCATTTGTAAATCTGTACGTATGACATTTAGATCGATACTATCAGCTTTTGTCATATATTTCGATTCAGTTAGAATACACTGGGCTAAACACTGTAAATGGGAAAATTGGAAGATTTCGATTAGGGTCATTCTTTTTCGGGAGAACGGGTTTGTTTACAAACTTACTGTAGCTGTTGCAACACTTGGCTGTGGATCTGTCGGCTGACCAGTAATGCCCATACGAAGGGCACATTTTTCTGTAACATCATCTCGACCGCCATCTTTACAGCAGGTCGCAGGATCCTGAAAAAATAAATAATTAAAAAAAATTCGCATTATTATTTTTGCTACTACTATTCAGGTAAAAAAGAAACAAATTCTCAGATCAGTATTTACGATTTCCAATGGAAAATAAATCTCAGATCATCAGAGCTAACACTTGTTTTATATAGAAAACCCTAGGGCTGAAATCTTATAGAAAACAAGCAGAATCTTTACGGACTGAAGTTTTTGGCGCATGAGGATTTTAGCAAGACAAACGCAAAAACCATTCTAGGACATGACCTGTTCAATGTCGATTTTTGCAGTCTGTCTCTCTGTTGAAATCACCATAGAGCTCGTAATATTTACATTTGTACTACTCATAGAATGTTTGGTATAGAAAATGGAATATATCGTTCCAAGATTTGGTATAGCCCTCATATAAAGGTCCCACAAATATTCCGTATTTTGGAATTTTTACCACGTTTTATTGGGTAACAAATCTCCCTGCCAAAACAAATCGATATATGAACACTTTTTAGGATAGTCCCTATATAACGGTACTTTGGGGATAGCAAAGCCGAATTTTGTATTTTTACATCGTGAGCCGTATTTATTATGTTTCATCCATTTTCAAATATATCTGTAGAAAATCTCGTATTTATTTTCACCGGAAAAAATAGACAGTTACTATATATCAAGACGTGAATCTACATCGAAAAACTTCTGTAGTTTTTTAACCTACAAGAACCCGGAATTAGCCTTTTCGTTGGGGACATTCGGTTAAAACATGAACCTATATCGAAATAGTTTTAGAAAAACCTTCAAAATATCGGAAAGCCAAATTACAGCCTATTGGGTTAGAAAACGCTTTGAAAAGGGGGGAGGTACCAAAAAATGAACGCATTTTCCTGTATATGAAATTTGTTTTAGAACACTGGAAGAAGTATTAATTTTCATAGTTTGGAACAAATTAATTATTTTCTCGTGACCACAAGCCAGCCAGTGTCGGTTTTTTTTTTTATAACCTCCAACATGAAGTGAAGTGTATATAAAATTAGCCATTCCGTTAGCAACACAACAAAATATTCACCGTAGATTCCATAAAAAATATATGTTCTTGCAAAATATAAATTCTGTGTGTTGAAATCACGAAAATTTATTTGAGATTGTCCCCGTATAACGGTGCCCTCAAATATTCGGTATTATGGAAATTTTTGAGAAGTTTTTCAACCGAATTAGTTGTAATTTGCTGTGTTTGGTTCTAATTGGGTATAAAATGCTTAATATTGGTGCACTTGGTGCACTTCAGTATTTTGGGGTTGTAGACAGCCTTTTTAGCAGATCAGCTGTAATTTAGTTTTTTTGGATTCTATATGGATCAATATTGGTTCACTTTTTAAGGAATCCCCATATAACGCTATATCTCATAATTTTGGACATTATATGGATGTTATATTTTGTATTCTCATTCAGCAGAAAATCTTCATACCAAAAATGATCAATATTGGCCGAAGTTTCCGGCTAGATCCCAGTATATATTGGCGGTATGGACATGTTTTTCCACCAAGTAGTCATTAAAAATGCCTACAACTCTTAGGTCCTCTTAGAAAAACCGCAGGTATTTCAACATACAGAACAATCATATCAACATCAATCATATTTTCACCTTCAATGCCTTAAAATCTATGATATTCTATCAAAAGACTTAAGCAACAAACTTGATCTCAAATGTTTGTGTCCTAAGTCTTTATGTCAGAATATAATTATACCCTTCACCACACTGTGGTACAGGGTATTATGTCTTTGTGCATATGTTTGTAACAGGCAAAAGGAATCGAGATAGACCCATAGTTCATTTTGAGAATATGCATAGAATCACTTTCTGAGTCGATTTACACATGTCCGTCTGTCCGTCCGTCCATGTATTTTTGTGAACAAAGTACAGGTCGCATTTATCATCCGATTTGGATGAAATTTTTCACAGTTCACTTATTTGGCTCAAGGACGAACCCTATTGAAATTGGGAAAAATCGGTTCAGATTTAGATATAACGGCCATATATACTTTCGTCCGATTTAAGGTAAATGGTGCACCAAAGTCCCTATATATCGTTCGATTTGCACGAAATTTGGCACAGCGTAATGAATTAGGCCTGGAATGATGTGTGTTAAGTTTCCTGAAAATCGGTCCAGATTTAGATATAGCTCCCATATATAGTTTCGTCCGACTTTATGTAAATGGTGCACCAAAGTCCCTATATATCTTTCGATTTGCACGAAATTTTGCACAGCTTTCTGAATTGAGTCTAGAGTAATGTCTGTCAAGTTTCGGGAAAATCGGTCCAGATTTAGATATAGCTCCCATATATATTTTCGTCCGATTTTATGTAAATGGTGCACCAAAGTCCCTATATATCTTTCGATTTGCACGAAACTTGGCATAACGTACTGAATTGAGCCTGGAGTTATGTCTACTAAATTTCTTGAAAATCGGTCCAGATTTAGATATAGCTCCCATATATATTTTCGTCCGATTTTATGTAAATGGTGCACCAAAGTCCCTATATATCTTTCGATTTGCACGAAATTTGGCATATCGTACTGAATTGAATTCGACTCAGTGGAGATAAATTAAAGTTAAATATTAAAGACCCAGACATGAACTAATAAGGAAAGTGGTAAAATCGGGCTGGGCCGACTATATGATACCCTACGCCACTTTGGGTATATCCTACATATGGGCATTCTCAATTGTCTTTTAAATTTCAATTAAAAACAATTGATTTGATACGATATTTAGCAATAAATGAACCGACTAACATCAATCCATACACATGCTTTTCTGCAACCTATGCTAAATGGGACAAATTTGTGTAAATCGATTTATAGCACACTTGATACACACTATTCGATAATATCAATCAGACACCCGTTTGAAATATATATGGAAGCTATGTCTGCATCTGCAACCATTACAAAAAAAAAAAAAAAAACAATCATTCTAGTCTCAATTGAATAGGTTGTGCAAAATTTCATATCAATCGGAGGAGTTTGGTGCACCATCGTGCAAATCGGAAGATATATAGGGACATTAGTGCACCATTTACCTTAAATCGGACGAAAATATATATGGGAGCTATAACTAAATCTGAACCGATTTTTTCCAATTTCAATATGGTTCGTCCTTGGGCCAAATAAATGAGCTGTGCCAAATTTCATCCAATTCGAATCATAAATGTGACCTGTACTTTGTTTACAATTTAACATGGACAGACAAACAATTTAACATCGACTTAGAAATTGATTCTATGCATATTCTCCAAAGGAACCATTTGTCTATCTCGTTTCCTTTTGCCTGTTACAAACATATGCACAAAGACATAATACCCTGTACCACAGTGTGGTGAAGGGTATAAAAAATGACCGTGAGAAAATCCAAAAATGAAAGGCTTATGCTAGAGTATTGCAAGGGTACTGGTAAGCATGGGGGAGGGTCAATTTGGGTGTTTCAGCTTGACAATAACCGCTAACCTGGCCAACACACTCATCAGATCTCTACTCTATAGAAAAATCTTTGGGGTATCATAGATAGCAAACTAACATAACATGACATATTCTCTTCCCACAGGTTAAGGATGCAAGGAATAGTATATTCAAGGATTAAATTTTGTTGTTTGAGGTTGATTTCTTGTGTTATATATGAACCGTTCTGTTCTATAAACTTTTTCCATCTCCCAGGAAGAATCATTATGCCATCTTTCCAAAATTGTTGAGGCTTACTTGGAAAGAGGGCATAATGAGGCTTCCTGGGAGATAGAAAAAGGTTATAGAACAGAACGGTGATACACGGTAATTTGGGGAATTAGGGCACGATTTTTAACCGAATTGGCTGTAGTTTGGTATTTTGGGTGCTCATGGTATAGCAAATAACCCTTACATAATTATTAATATTGATCCAAATTTCAGGTTCGCATCCATGTAACGTTGCTTCAATACTCGGGTATTTTGGGATTTTGGACACGTTTTCAAATTAACTTGGATGTAATTCTGTGTTTAGGTTCTCATTGAATATTACATATCCGTACCAAAAAATTTGATTAATATTGGCCCAATTTTCCGGGTATCCCCCATATAACAGTGTCCCAAGCATTCGGCATTCTAGTGATTTTGGACACGTTTTTCAACCGAATTGGCTGTAATTTGGTATTTTGTATATAGCGGTAGCCCCACTAATAGATATTTTTAGAATTTAAGTGCTTTCCCCATTCTTGGTGTCAAAAATGTAATTTAGTTTTTTGATATTGAATGTCCCTACAAAATTTCAAGTGAAAATCTCAAGAACTCTTGAATATGTAGCCGATTTATTGTGTCAGCATCAAGTGGCGGCAAGAGTAATTCTCAAAATTTAAACGCATTTTTCTCGAAGCAGTGTTTTTACGAACTATTAATCCAATCAAATTTTGACACGTTTCTCTGAGAATGTATAGCTATGAATGAATGAACTAGGATAAAGCCAATCGGTGAAGAACTTCCCTCCACCATAGTATGGAGGGTATATTAATTTTGTTTTTCCGTTTGTAACTCATCGAAATAATCATTTCCGACCCTATAAATTATATATATTCTTGATCAGCGTAAAATTCTATGACGATATAGCCATGTCCGTCTGTCTGTCTGTTGTAATCACTCTAGCGTCTCAACGAATTGAGATATCGGTCCACGTTTAGGTATAGCTCCCAAATAAGGGTACCCCCCAATTTTCGGTATTTTGAGGTTCTTCAGCGCGTTTTTCAACTGAATTCGCTGAAATTTGGTACATTGAGTTCTTATTGGGTAGTAAATCTCTCCACTAAAAATTATAAATATGGGTCATATTTTCGGGTAGCCCCCATATTAGGGTTCCCCAAATTTTGCGGGGTTTGATCGAATTTTTCGACCGAATTCGCTGAAATTCGGTACTTTGAGTACTTATTGGGTAGGAAATCTCTGTACTAAAAATAATAAATATAGGTCAATTTTTTAGGGTAGCCCCCATATAAGGGTACCCTTCCCCAATTTTCGGTATTTTAGGGTTCTTGAGCGTGGTTTTCAACCGAATTCGCTGAAATTTGCTACATTGGGTTCTTATTGGGTACCAAATTTCCCCACTAAAAATTATAAATATAGGCTCACTTTTTCTGGTAGCCCCCATATAAGGGTACCTCCCAATTTCCAGTTTTTGGGGGGCTTTGACCGAATTTTTTAACCGAATTGGCTGTAATTTAGTAATTTCAGTTATTATTGGGTAGCAAATCTCTCCACAAAAAAATATAGGTCAATTTTTTCGGGTAGCCCCCATATATGGGTACCCCCAATTTTCGATATTTTGGAGTTCTTGAGCGTGTTTTTTAACCGAATTCGCTGAAATTTGGTATTTTGTAGTCGTATATGGTAACAAATCTCCCCACCAAAAATTATTAATATTCACCCATTTTTAGGGATAGTCCCCATATAAACCCCTTTTTATATTAAAATTCTAAAGATATTGTGATAAAAGAAAACTCAAACATGTTGATAATGAAATATATCGGCAGACATTTAGGCATCTCCTCAATATAGTGATACCTTCTGAAGGAAACAATTGAGATAAACAATTAAAATATTGGGTTCAATATTGGCATATACCGGTCATTAATTAGGCATAGTCCTCATATAATGATATCCCCAAATATTCACTATTTCCTACACTATGTAATCAATATTGGCCCCCCTTTTGGCATAGCCTCATATAAATTTATAATCTAAATTACAGTAGTTTGAGGATTCTATATACTCTACCATGTGTTATCAGTAGCAGTCCACTTTTTGGATCTTACAGATTTTAAGAAAAATCCCCATTAAAAATTGCTGAGGTTTGTATTTGGTGTACATAATGGTTTACATAAATCGGTTTGTAGAATTATCGGTATATGCCCCTTTTAAGTATGTTCTCTATATTTTCATTGCATGTATCTCTCAGTATAACTATGGTGGAGGGTATCCAAAGTTCGGCCCGGCCAAACTTAACGCTTTTTCACTTGTTTAACTTAGTCTGTGGTCAAAAATAGGCGAATCTCCAAAAAAACAATTTAAAGGTCCGTCATTAAGTGTATACGAAAGTCAGACATGTACTCTCGCTAATAATTTGGAATTTCCGGATTCCGATGTTCCAGTGAGGAGTTATCATGCCCGCCATCAAAAATAAGAACTTTTCTTTATTCACTAAAAACAATAACCAAATTTTGTAAATTATTTTTCTTCCCCTTTAAATCTTCAAATATATATGTGTAAAGCTACAAAACTTAACATGCATTGGTATTGCATTGGTTTAAAATCGAGAATGGGGGAGGTCTCCTTAAGCAAAAGGGGAAAATAGCGTAAACAGATACTTTTGTGTCTTAGGTCTTTGATTAGCATAATTCTCTTTGGTGCCAAATTATTAAGAGAGGAGAGTATACAAAATACGTTTGTGTCTTAAGTCTTTTCTAATAAACAGTTTATAATACTCACCACTAATTGAGGCGGTCGTTGACAATCTATAACTGCCGCAAATGCCAACTACAAATAAAAGTAAATATTTATTTAGATTATTCTCTCTCTGACACACATTCTCTTTTTTTCGCTTTCTCTTATAATATCACAACTCACTTGATGACAATAACTGAGAAAAACCACAAAGGATATCACTTTATTTTGATGTGACAACATTTTCAAATTCATTTAAAATTTCCCTTTTTCACTTAAACACTTTTAAAGCACAAAGTCTCTGTGGAATTTAAATTGCGATTATGACAGCACAAATGTATAATTTTCTCGTTTGCGAACTCTGTATGTTTGTATGACCGTTTCACTGGGTTCCCAAATGAGTAATAATACAATAGCGTTATAGTTTTTTGAATTTATACGCAATCGGTCAAATGGAAATTTATGTGATTAGCGTTTTTTTTTCAAAAACAAATGTCGCGCACACACGCATTTGAATAGTCACCTATAACACAGAGACGAACAGGTGGAAAACGTTATAGAAATTTTGAAACTGTAGTTGAAAGCAATATACAGACCAATGCCCCATCACCAGTAGTAGTCCAGTGCTAATATATTCAAAACATTTACTTATACAATAATAATAATAACAACAATACAAACACATGTGTCAATAAATTGGGAAAAAAACTCATCTGAGTGAAAACATCAGTGACCATCATTTAATTGCTTTAGCTTTGACCGACCATTGCGCCAAAAAATGACGCATTGCCGCTTTGCAACATTACCTGCCAACCAAGCAGCCCACCAGTTAGACAGCCAACCAACCAACCATAATCATAATTATGACCATGTTAACAGTTTAGACAAACATTCACATTTTTCTCAATGACATGCAGAGTTTTAGTTTCCTAATTGCCATGACTTTTCCTCATCATCACCTGTGCATATTATGGTGGGAGATAATTGCGGAAAATCCCAAAAAATAATTATTATTAATTTTTATTATAAACTGATTAATTTAGTAGTAGTAGTACCACCAGCGATGTTCTAGACAGAATAGAGAGTCATAATATTTAATAACAATGACAATATTACTTTTACGCAGTACGGTTCGATTTGAAATCTTTTGGTGTTAAAATAATTAAAATAAACACATTGTTATATCAAAAAAAAAAAAAATCCACGCCTTCTGGACCAATAATTTCTTAAAAAAAATTATTACAAAAATCCAATCAATAATTTATTAAAAATAATCTTTAAAAAATCCACGCTTTAAGGATCAATAATTTCTAAAAAAAATATTTCAAAAATCCACGCCTTGAGGATCAATAATTTCTAAAAAAAATATTTCAAAAATCCACGCCTTAAGGATCAATAATTTCTAAAAAAAAAATATTTCAAAAATCCACGCCTTAAGGATCAATAATTTCTAAAAAAAAAAAATATTTCAGGCCTTGAGGATCAATAATTTCTAAAAAAAATATTTTAAAAATCCACGCCTTTAAGGCCTTTTGAACCTCTAGAAAATTTATTTAAAAAATCCACGCCTTCTGGAGCAATAATTCATTGAAAATATTCTTTAAAAAATCCACGCCTTCTGGAGCAATAATTCATTGAAAATATTCTTTAAAAAATCCACGCCTTCTGGAGCAATAATTCATTGAAAATATTCTTTAAAAAATCCACGCCTTCTGGAGCAATAATTCATTGAAAATATTCTTTAAAAAATCCACGCCTTCTGGAGCAATAATTCATTGAAAATATTCTTTAAAAAATCCACGCCTTCTGGAGCAATAATTCATTGAAAATATTCTTTAAAAAATCCACGCCTTCTGGAGCAATAATTCATTGAAAATATTCTTTAAAAAATCCACGCCTTCTGGAGCAATAATTCATTGAAAATATTCTTTAAAAAATCCACGCCTTCTGGAGCAATAATTCATTGAAAATATTCTTTAAAAAATCCACGCCTTCTGGAGCAATAATTCATTGAAAATATTCTTTAAAAAATCCACGCCTTCTGGAGCAATAATTCATTGAAAATATTCTTTAAAAAATCCACGCCTTCTGGAGCAATAATTCATTGAAAATATTCTTTAAAAAATCCACGCCTTCTGGAGCAATAATTCATTGAAAATATTCTTTAAAAAATCCACGCCTTCTGGAGCAATAATTCATTGAAAATATTCTTTAAAAAATCCACGCCTTCTGGAGCAATAATTCATTGAAAATATTCTTTAAAAAATCCACGCCTTCTGGAGCAATAATTCATTGAAAATATTCTTTAAAAAATCCACGCCTTCTGGAGCAATAATTCATTGAAAATATTCTTTAAAAAATCCACGCCTTCTGGAGCAATAATTCATTGAAAATATTCTTTAAAAAATCCACGCCTTCTGGAGCAATAATTCATTGAAAATATTCTTTAAAAAATCCACGCCTTCTGGAGCAATAATTCATTGAAAATATTCTTTAAAAAATCCACGCCTTCTGGAGCAATAATTCATTGAAAATATTCTTCAAAAAAATCCACGCCTTCTGGAGCAATAATTCATTGAAAATATTCTTTAAAAAATCCACGCCTTGTGGACCAATAATTCATTGAAAATATTCTCTAAAAAAGGATCAATAATTCATTGAAAATATTCTTTAAATAAAAAATCTACGTCTTAAAAAAAATCTACGTCAAAAAATTTATTAAAAAATAAGGACCATTAAAAATGTTTACAATGGGGCGATTTAAAAATCCAAATATATATTATTATTCAAAATTCTATTCCACAACAGTATTTCCTCCAATTAGAACCAATTGTATTTCCCTCCAAAAAAACCCTCTCAAAAAGCATAATAACCCTGACCCATATCTGAAAATAAATATTTTCCACTTTTTTTGTTCGCATGTAACAAATTCGCGCCAAATTAACTTTCAACCGGCCGCAACAAGTGCGTTTAGGCCACATGCTCATATAATCGTTGACCACAACAACAAAAATTATTTAATAGTCAACAAATGTCCAACCCCATGTGTATGGACATTGACAACTACCATGTCACTGAAGCAAATAATTATGAATGAAAAATCGCAGAGAAACCCCCCATCATTAATGGCTTGACGGAAAAGTCGCAACAAGTTCAAAACCCACTGAAGGTTATAGTTGCGACCACGCACACGCTAATGGTTCAGTGATGATCTTTTGTTAAACGTTGCTTGCATTTTCAGCGAAAGTTGAAAAAACTCTGGCTAACGCATGACATTGGAGCAGTACCTTTACAAAAAACACGCACACATATATATAAACTCATTCGAATTTTGTTTCAACAAATCATGCGTAAAAACTGAAACTTATGAATGATGATTTCCAAACAACAAGTGGGTATGCCGCTTGCATCTATTGGTCGGATCGACACTTTTGTATACTCTACAACATTGAAATATAATTATTTCGACCTTTTTATAATTCCAATTTATAAAATGTGGGACCCATATATTCTCCGAAGAAGTCTGTGCCTTCATATGATCTTAAATACAACATTTTAGATTTTTATTCCGACAAAAATGTTTTTTGACACTGAAAGGGTTAATACTTAATTCCTCAGAAGTAAGAATAGTATGACCTGATGATTTAATTCCTACTGGCAGAACGCTTTCTATTTTGAGTTAATTGTATGAAAACGTAAAATTGAAATCGTTTATAACGACATATCGGTTATAACGACTCATCCAAAAGTCCCCATAAATGTTCTGCCCTTGATTTGATAACGTTTATAAAGACATATAGCTTATATCGACCAATATAACCAACCAAGCGTTCGGCCTGGTCGAACTTTGGATATCCTCCACCATAGGTATACTGACAGGTACTTGAAATGAAAATATAGGGAACATATCAAAAGTGGACCTCTACCGACATTTCTACAAACCGATTATGTAAACCAAATAAAAATTTCAGCATTTGTAATGAACATTTATGTTGATACGGTAAAAATGTGCCTCATCGAAATATTGGTTCTAGACCCCATGTTTCTTGGACCAAATCCATTTCATAAAATTTGGATTTCATTCAAACATTGCACATATTATTATTTCTTCCTAACTTCGTTTAAGTCCGAAGATGGGGAATATAGGTCCAATCCTTCTGGTACCTCCCACAAAGGGGTTAGGCCTTAATAAGGGTTATAGTTTATTATCCAACCTTACGTTCTAGTTTTTTATGTCTATATCCTCCGCAGGTGAAATGATTACTACAGAGTCTTAGAACCAAATCAGATAACTATTTTAATATAAACAAGTGAAAAAGCGTTAAGTTCGGCTGGGCCGAACTTTGGATACCCTCCGCCATAGTTATACTGACATGCAATGAAAATATAGGGAAGATACCAAAAAGCCATTTTGAATGGGGATTTTTCCTAAAATCTGTAAGGTCCAAAGAGTGGACTGATACTGATAACGCATGGTAGAGTATAAAATCCTCAATTTTTGCACCCAATATTTTAATTGTTTATCTCAATTCTTTCCTTCAGGAGGTATCACTATATTGAGGAGATGCCTAAATATCTGCCGATATAATTTATTATCGTGATGTTTGAGTTTTTTATCACAACGTAACGACTACCGAACCTCAACACACGGGACAAATCAGATAACTATTTTAATATAAAAAGGGGTTATATGAGGACTACCCCTAAAACGGGGTGAATATTAATAATTTTTGGTGAAGAGATTTGTTACCATATACGACTACAAAATACCAAACCTCAAAATATCGAAAATTGGGGGTACCCTTATATGGGGACTACCCGAAAAATTTGACCTATATTCAGAATTTTTTGTGGATATATTTGCTACCCAATATGAACTCAAATTACTAAATTACAGCCAATTCGGTGAAAAAATCTGGTCAGAACTCCCCAAAAACTGGAAATTGGAAGGTTGCCTTATATGGGGGCTACAAGAAAAAGTGGACTTATATTTATAATTTTTAGTGGGGAAATATGGTACCCAATAAGAACTCAATGTACCAAATTTTTGAAACCCGTGCTCAAGAACCCTAAAATACCGAAAATTGGGGGGT